CGAGGTGCTTGGCGGATCTAATGGCCGTCATCCCCCCGTTGAGCCCCGAACAGGTAATGCTGGCTAAGCCGGCGCGGAGCTAGCTCGCACGCTCCGTGGGAAAGGCCACTATGCGGAATCAGCGCAGCTGCCGCCTGTCCTCACGGTAGGCCCTAGGCTGAGGGGAGCGGCTGCCTCCAAGGGCCTTCCCTCTAGCATGCCAAGAGTATCATGCCAACCAGTGTGTATCCAGGAAGAGATACCCACTCAGGCGGCGGTCCACCTGCCCGCGGCCCCTGGCACTAAGTACATTATGATCCTCCGTGCAGCTCCCAGGAGTCAAGGCGACATCCAGGATAGAGCGGAGAAGTCCAATGCCACGATGGGCATGAATGGTTTTGTTCTGTCATTAGATATCCTCGAGCCTTTCCAGAATTCCATCGAGGGATTTCACAAGGAGCTGTTGTTCATTACCGATATAATTCTATCTGGGCGTGTTGTTGGTCTCTTGGCAGACCTTCATCTTTCCTCGTGGGACCCTGCCCCCCGCTGCAAAGCCAAGGGTGGAGAAAACAGGCCTTTAAGGAGCTGCGATGAGCCGTGGGGGATTTCAGCTAGGTCGCCCTCGGAGTGGAGGCAGCTGGAGCTCGACAGTGCGTGCCTTCGGGCGGCACTGACGCTGGCGCTGTGTGCGGCGTCCTCGGGCCTGGCGACCTTGCTTACTTTAACCCCACCCGCTCCGCAAGCCAATTTGCCCTGCATTTGGAAAGTCCCCGAGATCAGGTTCCTGTGCTCCCTGTCGGTGCTGTCTCCGACACTCACGTCGAGTTGTTTGCCCATCGGGGACCGTCAGTGCATGTTCCTGAACGCCGTGCCGACTATGGCCCCTCCTGACAGCAGCCAGGCTGAGTTCTACCTAGCTGCTGTTATCACGCAGGCAGCCTCACAACGCTGTGCCCCCACGCCTCCTGGGGATGCATGGCTAGAGGCGTCAGTTGCCCATCTCTATGCCCCGCACGATCCATGTTGCGAGTCGGGTTGATGCTGGCCATTGCTGCTCTCCTCGTCCCCCGCTCTGCTTGCCGCCACTCTCACCGCTGACGTATGCATGTGTGGACACCTCAGACATTGGTCCTCAGGGCTGTGGGAAGAAGAAGGAGGAGGGGGAGGGAGGGAGGGAGGGAGGAGGAGGAGGAGGCGGGTCTTTGGGCCCTTCTCCTCCTGTTGGGGGGGCGCGCCGGGCCTCGGGGCCGTCAGGATACGACTCGGGATATAAACACAATTGCAGCCAGCGGCCGCAATGAGGATCAGACGGCGGCCGAGCTGGGATGTCAGAGCAGTCCTATGGAAGGGGTCGAGACCTCCGGTGAGGGAGCCGAGGATGGCGACTTTCGGATGGTCGTCAACGGGAGGGGGGGGGCAATCACTGAGAGATGCAATCATCGATCCCCCTGGCGTTATCACTAGCATTAGGTCGGGCATGCCCTCCTACGGGCGGATCTAGGAAGAAAAATGAAGCATAGTCAAACACCTATTCCAACATGCTCGAAACATCTTCACAGGACTATTTCTTGAGTATTCTGGGATATTCCTCTTGCGGAGGGAGATGCCCGACTTAAAACGCTAGCGCTCCAGTGAACTCATTGATCCCCGAGGTGGAGGGGGGGGTGGGACCGCCGAGGGAGAAATCGTTCGGCACCATGACGAATGAATTCGTTGGGTGATCCGGCGTGGGTGGGTGCGGCGGTGAGAGGGGACAAGGAGTAGAAGAGAAATCCTCTAAAATCAGAAAGGTGATCGTTCTCTTGAATTCTGGCGTTTCGAGATTGGGCGGAAGAGGGGGGGGAGGAGGGGGGGTCTGGCTCGGGACCTCTGCTTACTGCGACTGTTTGCAACAGTGCGTCCTATGGTGGAGACTCCACCTGCCTGAAACAAGCACCAAAAACGGCCAAGATCCACTCCATGAGGTGGGGGGGAGGGGGGGTATATACGAGGGTCCGGCCGATCGGCAAAACAATGAACAAGACAACGATCACAAGGAACTTCACCCTCGAAGGATGTCTGGGCACAGGGCCCCAGAGACATGGACGCCGAATCCCAGGCGCCGAGGGAGGGATCTGGCCACAGCGCTCGCGCCAGCGCACGGCAGCGGCCCTCGCAGACCCCTGCCCCCTGCCGAGGACGTCGGCTTCTGGACTCGCTTCTCATCGAGACGGATTCCTACTTGGGCTCGCACCGACGACACGCAGGCCTGGCCAAGAGATCCATCGAAACAACCGAGCATCCCAGTCGCCGGTGGCGACGACGGCGAGCGACAACGGACGACGGCCACGCGTCACGCGGATGCCTTTGTGGGGGGAGGTGCTGCGTGGGCCCGCCGTAGTGAACGACGACCACGGCCACGACCACGTCCACGACCACGACCACGACCACGACGACGACGACGACGACGACGACGACGAGCTGCGGATGCTCCCGGGGGGGTGGGGGGTGCTGCTGCGGGGGGCGGCCGACCCTGACGACGACGACGACGCGCTGCCTGCGGATGCCCTGTGGGGGCATGCTGCGTGGGCCCGCCGCCGAAGCGGATGACGACGACGAGGAGGACGACGGAATCCGATTGCAATCCGATTGGGACTGTATTTGGATCCTGTTTGGATGCAACTGGGTCTTTTTGGAATCCTATTGGAGCCCAGGGATCCCACTGAAACCCTATTCGGATCTCGAGGGAATCTTGGAAGCGAATTGGAGCCCAGGGAACTCATTGGAATCGCATTGAAATGCTATCGGACATTGGGATCCTCATGGGATCCTATAGGCAATCAATCGGAGACCATCGAGAAAGAGAGAGAGAGAGAGAGCATCGAGAGAGATACTGAAAAAGGGGAGCGTCTGCGAATCTGTAGATTTCGACTGCAATCGGAACTGCGGGGTCTGAGGGGTCTTTTGGCAGAATGTCGCTTCCAGGGGGCGGGGAGCGATATCGCTTCTTCACCCAAAGAAGGAGGGCCGATCATTCATTATCTTTATAAAAAAACGGAAGGGAGCCCAGACAGATCTCCGACGGTATCTATGTTTTTCAGTCATCGTTGTTCCTGGACTTCGGTCATCGGGGGCTTTGTCGAGCCCTGGGACCATCAAAAATGGACCGGGGCCGAAAAAACCGCCCCGGGGAAGGGTCGGGGTGCACCCGGGGCCCCAGATTGAAACAATCCGAGCGGTGGACCTCGCGCAAGGCAAGAGCGTGTCGCGCCGACGTCGGCGTCGGCGTCTGACACCGCGTGCACCGTCCAACGTGGAGAACGATCGGCGGCCTCTCGGTCGCCAGATCGATCCACATTGGCCGATCCTGGACCAGCGGCGGCATTCGCAAGGATTCGCTCACGGGGGTTGTGTTGCTCCCATCGCACTTAAGACTTAAGGACCACATCCCAGAACTAATTTCGAGCACCCAGCAAGTATCGAAAGAACGTCGAACGAGTATCGCCTCCCAAGGCCCGACACGTGAACAGCCTCCAAGTTCGGTGCTTTCCTGGTGCTCGGAATTCTTTCTGGTGACCAAGGCCAAGAGTAGGTTTAGGTCGGGCGTGTCCCCTACAGGCGGATTTGGGAGGAAAAATAAAACATACTCCAAACATGTTCATACATAGTAACATACAACACGTCCCCAAGCTATTGATTGATTACTTTTGAATATTCCTCCTGTCGAGGGACAACCCCGACTTCAAACTAGGTTGGAACATCACAGCACGGGGGGCAAATCTCGGAGAGTCGGGCGCTGCAAGTCTTCCGCACCAGGCGCTTGCGCCCAGCGCCCAGCCCCGAGGCCATCAGAAAAATCCATACCTGGCTCGAACCGTGCAGCGCAAGGACGGGCCCAAGGCTCCGGCAATGCTCTCTCGCGGTGGCTGGCAAATCCGTGGCTGCTAGAGAAGTCTTCCCGCAAGAACAAAACAAATTCCCGGAATCAAGCTCAGCGCACAACATAGTAAACGGGCTGCTCCCCGGAAACAACAAAAAACTTCCCGCAGCTCCGTTTTAGCAGCCGCGGGTTTGCCAGCCTTCCCTGCAATCCTGGGCCCCTCCTACGTTCAGGGCCAGTAACTCTTGCATACAGCGTGTCGCCGGGGCGGTCCCGGCGACACGCTATGCCCTGCGCGCGGACAGTGTGTCGCTCCGCTCCGCGGGACGGGACGCTCGGACGACCTTGGCACGTGGACGCCTCGGGACCGCGAGGGGGGGCGCGGCGCATCGAAGCGCGGTGGGCCAGGACCGCGGAGCGGCACGCCGTCCCAGAGCTCCCGACCGTGCGTGGATGCTGGGCGGCGCGCGCAATGGGGGTGGGAGGGGGGGGGGGGGGAAGGCCTCTGAGAATTATGTTGTTCCCATCCTGCTTAAGGACCAAGTCTTAGAAATAATGTCGAGCACCCAGAAACGTGTCAAAAGAGTGTCGAAACGGTGTCGGGCAAGTGTCTCCCAGGGCCCGACTCGCGAAAACCCTTGAGTTTCGGTACTTTCTTCTGGCGCTCGAAAGTCTTCCTGGTGATCAAGGCTAAAGTCGGTTGGAACATCATACTCTGAGAAAAGGGCTGCTCCTTGGAAGGCGCCGGCCTCACATCCACAGACAGGGCCCGCGCCTCCTGAGAAGCAGGGGAGTACTTCTGAGAAGCCTTCCCCTCCTCCCCTGCCGCCCTCTGCGCGTGGCCGATAGGCTTAAATGCGGCCGTGCCCTCCAACAGGCGGGTTCCGAAAGAACAATACAAGGAGCATCAAAACAATCAACCAGCATTATAATGCAAACGATACTAAGAACAACAATGCAAATAATGATACGCGATCGTGATCGTAATACGGCTCTTAATCATGATCCAACATCAATAACACTAATACACAATAGAAATAATACGAATGATCATTCATAAACGGAAAATCGTCACCATACCATGTTTGAGCTATTAGTTAATCTTCCTCCTGTGGAGGGACATGTCCGACGTCCGATTTAACGACCGTCCGCCCGAGACCTGGCGCACGCCCCGCCGGTCTGCCAGGAACCGCAGCAGCACGTCGAGCTCCTGGCAGTCCTCGCTCTGGCGGGCGAGGGAGGAGGAGGAGGAGGAGGAGGAGGAGGAGGAGGACGAGGAGGAGGAGGGAGGAGGAGGAGGATGGAGGAGGAGGAGGAGGGAGGAGGAAAAGAGGGAGGATGAAGGAACGAGGAGGAGGAGGAGGAGGAGGAGGAGGAGAGGAGGAGGAGAGAAGGGAGGAGGGGGGAGGCGAGAGGAGGAGGAGGAGGAGGAGAAGGAGGTCCTCCTCTTCTGGCGGTCGAGGGGGGGGGCCCTGGCCCCAGGTCTCCGACGAGAAAGGGGCGTTGGACTTGCTGGGCGGGGGGGCGAGCAAGCGAGCGCCACTCGTGCCCCTTTTGGGCCCCAGAGGGGCCCTTCATCAGGGCCTCGGAGGAGGAGGATGGAGGAGGAGGAGGAGGAGGAGGAGGAGGAGGAGGAGGAGGAGAGGAGGAAGAGGAGGAGGAGGAGGAGGGGAGGAGAGATGAGGAGGAGGAGGGAGGAGGGAGGATAAAGGAACGAGGAGGAGGAGGAGGAGGAGAAGGAGGAGGAGGAGGAGGAGGCGGACCACTTTCATCAGGGCCTCGGAGGTGCACTGTTCTTCACCACCCCGAAGGCACAGACTCAGGATCATTTTGGCTCAAGCCAGAGGCTCAGGGTGGCTGAGAAGGGCACGCGCGCTTTGCCTTCGAGTCATGGCGCCTAGCTGAGCCTCCCTTGTCTCTCGCGGGAGGAGGCGTGTGCGTGGAGACTCCGCGAAAGAGTGCACTGGAGCCCAGACGACGGACCCCCCCTTGCATCGCCCCCCCTGTTAATGCAACGCCCGAGACGATACGATCGACGCACATCCGGACATGTTTCCCAGACTGCTGCCTCTGGGGCATGTCTCGGGCCCCCGGCGGACGATCGGGACCTCTGGGGCCGGGGATGTGAGCAGAAACATGTCGGCGGACGTCTGGGTCTGACATCGAGGGAAGAAAAAGTGGAAACAGGTCCTGGACCCCAGGCCCCAGGGCCCCTCGCGCCAGGTGACTCGCGGATATCGAATGCGTTCTCGAACAAGTCGCCCTGGAACAGGGCGGCGTAGGATTGCGATGAAGAAAGGCCACGCAGGCGGGGCACTACTTTAGAATTCTGGTTTCCTGCTGCTGGGGAAGGAGTTGGGAAAGGATGATCAAAGAATCTCAATGACGGAGACGACGTCCACGAGCAGGCCTCCAGCCAAATGTAGCAATCATCGCCAAGTCTTAATCGCCAGCCTACATTAACTTTGCGGCCCAGGCCGCGGGGTGCCATGCGCAAATATATTCGCACCCGCATCTCCTCGGCTGACCAGTCTCCCCGGGGCTAGGCTTTCGACCTGCGTCCATATTTCACGGGCACGGAGCCTGGGAGCCCGAGCACGGCGATACAACCATCACCGTGCTACCATGGAGATCAGAGCGCCATAGACGGAACCGAGGGGCTGTTCTGGCCACGACGAGCCTCGGTCACGATCCGCCACCCAACTTGGATCTAAGGAAATAAAAATGCCCGAACACCCGAGCCCCTCCTGAGCCTACCGTGGTCCTTCTTCCAACGTCTTGCCTGGACCATAAGCCTCCAGAGCCAAGCCTTCAGGACGACTTCGGAAGGCTCCCCAGGAGGCGGGAGAGCCTTCTCTGAGAAGCCCCTCCCCGCACTCCGAGGAGCCTGGCCCCAGCTTTGGAAGCAGATCTCCCAGGACCGCACAGGCGTATGTATGTATATGCACACGTCCCCCCCAACAGTGCTTGCGCTTAGGGGTTCCAAATTCTGCTCTGAGGATCTGGGTTTCGTCTTCGGTCTGGCGGTTATTTTGTCGCCGTCACCACCCCGTTGCCGCCTCGTCGCCGCCCGTCGTCTGGGCCACGCCTTCGGTCTGGCGGCTACACTGTCGAAGTCACCTCTCTGGCGCCGCCTCGTCGCCGCCTGTGGAGTGCACCACGAAAATTGCACGATCACAAAGCACCCGCGGCGCGCTTTTCAATCGTTCACGACATGCATTATACGACATAGACGGCACATCAATCATGTCACCACATTGGTTGCACAACATCTGTTGCACAACCATCTGGATTGCACGATACATGTTGCACATCATCGATTGCACAAGATTGCGCAACCACATAATTTGCACACTACATATGGGCTGGCTCAGGTTGCATCAATCATACTACACCGCATACAGTCCATCACATAGTTTGCCCAATCTAGAATGCAACCTGCATGTATCCACATACACATCTATGTATACACAGGTATGTACATCACGATGTTGTGTCCGCGCCTGCAGCACGTTTGTGATTGCTTGCAACCCTGCAACATAGAGTGCAACACAAATCTGGCACAGCATAGATTGAACCATAGATGTTGCACCACACATATTGCCCAACATACTTTGCACCGCCTAGACTGCACTACATACGTTGCACAGCATGGCTAGCACCACATAGACTGCACAGCATGCACTGCACAGCATATGATGATAATGACACGCTGTGTGTGGGGGGGGCCACGCTGGCTAACATAAGAGTACATGTGTGAATCTGAATCGTACACTCGAATAATCGTGCGCGCTTCGCGATTCCGTCCGTGTTTTCCCAACTACCCACCACTGCTCCATCCCATTAGCATGGCTAGTGTCCTTCCGAGCTTGTACTTGAACGATGATGTGTACGAAAATGTGTCTTCTACTTGAACAGTGATTCATAAGATACGTCCTCCTCGTCATCAGTTGTCTCTGTTGCTCTTATCCGCATCTCCTCTATCTCATTGCTATGAGATTATCTGGGCTGCACTAGGTGGACCTGGGGACCGAGAATCATCCAAGTAAGTTCCACTAGGACCCCACATCGGCCAAGCTCTTCGCGCGGACACAATCCTGCAATATTCCAGCATCCACTGTTTAACCTCTTCCATTCGCCCCCTGGGTTTTGCATCCAGCGGTAGTTGGTCCTGCATATTGATTGGATCACGGCCGTCGTCTTCACATTCCGCCACATGAGCACTCAACGCAACCAGTCCTCCTTCGTTTGGATCTGTTCGGGCTCGAGGTACAGATCTCTTTGTCCCAGTGGGCTTGTGCTGAGAAATGAAGCCGCTGCTTGGGTTCTCTGCAGTGTTTGTGGTACTGTGCTCTGAGGTTGTGCATGCTGCTGAAGACGTTTCTACGATGGGCTTCCCAGATCTCTTGGACTAGCTTGGGTTATCGCTGTCTCAGCTTCCGCTCGAAGTTGCTTGCGTAACGCTGTCGTCGTCGCAGGGTCCTCCTGCAGGCCCCGAAACTCTCTCTCGAAGATGCCTTCCAGCGCAACTTCTCTCCTTGCTCCCTCCCCGCCGGAAGCAATGTCATTATTCTGTCTCGTTCTGATGCAGCGGCGTCGTCCAGCACCTGCTTGCCCTGTGCAAAATATTTGGCGAAGGCTTCTCTGGCGGCATCGCCTTTTTAACTGTCGAAGAGCCGAATCAAGAGTACTCTCTGCTAGCACTGGTCTCCACCTGTCTGCCGTCTCCTCCGTGTTTCTCTCCGAGTAAGCAACATGGTCGGATCGCCTGGTGCCTTTCATGAGGCAACCCATTCGGCGGTCGCGGTCCAACTGTGGTTCCCTCCTCTTTGTTGTTGACCGTCGGATGAGCTTCTCGTCGTGATGTCGAGCACCCGTCCCACTGGCACGTGATCTCTGTGCCCTCTCGCCTAGATGAGTTGCAGCCTTCTGGCCGCTGCCCCAAGGGTCGCGCATCTCTTTCTGAGCGGGAGGGCGGCCGTAGGAAATGCTTTGTGGTCTATTTTGTATGTCGTTCCTGTCGTTCCGTGGTAGGTGGGCCCTACGTCGTAATGGGTCGTGGCCACCGGTAACGCACGAGCTCTGCAAAACTGTTAAAAACACGCTCCATTATCGTTTTCTATGCTGTTGTCTGTTTTACCTGTTGTACCCCCTCCACTTCTGTCTACCCCCTCCACTTCTGTCTATGAGTCCGTCTGAGGCTCTATGTAGACCAGATTAAATGCTGATGCAACCTCCTAACGCTATCTTTGTTATGCTTCCGAATATGTCACGTATATCTTTAACCCAATCCATTAATGGTGTGGCAATTCCCAGATGCGTCTTCGCATGTGTTGATGCGTAATTTGCCGTGGAGGAGCAAAAACCCACTGTCCTCGCCTTAATCCTGATGCCTGCTGTCCTGCCTTGTGTGGGGGACGGAGGCAGGCGAATACTGTCATGGAATTATCCGGGGATGTGGCTTGCAAGCAGGATCGACGTGACACAAGCTATTGTCACGAACCTTCCTTCCTGGCTCATCGGTATTCCCCAACATGATCAGGTCGTTGCATCATCGTACTCCCTACGTTCTGTGTCCCATTTAATGCTGGGATGCTCCATCCTTTGAGTTGCTGTAGCTTCCAATCTCTCCACAGCCACGGCAGCCAGTGGGTTGAAGGTCGCTATCTTCATAAAGAGATACCAATACGCAAGCAGCATTGTGTCAGCATGAGTCGAGTCAGAAACGGTGCCTCCCTTATCCCCCCTTGCTGCGGGTGAGAAAAGCGGGCCAAGGCTGCGAATGCTAAGTGTGTGCGCCTTTTGCGCGGGTTGGAATCCATGTGATCCTCCCCAAAGCAGCCTGGGAGGGGAAGGAGGAGAAAGAGGAGGAGGAGGGGGAGGAGGAGAAGGGGGGACAGTGTAAGAAGAGGAATGCGGGCAAGATGATGACGAGTTGGCCGAGCGAGAAAATATATCATCGACATAGAGTTAGCACTGGAGGGAATGCAGAGGACGATGACCTCCTCCTCCTCCTCCTCCTCCTCCTCCTCCTCCTCCTCCTCCTCCTCCCTCCTCCCTCTTCCTTCCTCCCTCCTCCCTCCTCCCTCCTCCCTCCTCCATCCTTCATCCT